AAATGTTTGTGACATTCAGAATAAGCTCCTTGAGTCTTAAGATTAAGAATGGAGATTAAAAAGTGCTGCCTTCCTGTACTGCTGCTGTACGTTTCCCATAAACTTCCCTTTTAATTAAATGGAAAATTTCAAAGTCAGATCAGCAGGTTGTACTTTAGGCACAGATCACAACTTGATAAAAAGGTGTGAACATTCATGTGGAGTTCTTGTCTAGCCCTAGTAACCAATTCATCTTAGAATCAATCTTTCTTATTATTACCAGAAATCCATTTTGTGTTGCATATATCATCAGTGAGCACCAAGCTGAGTTGTATAATTTAGGTCTCATATACAGGTTTTTATGGTTCTCAGAGAATGTGCATAGTAATTTTTTTTTTTGTGGGGAGAGTAAAGAGAGGGAGCAGTAGGAGGTAGAAACATGTTCCTGTATTCTGGTAATGTTGGGGAAAAGCTATATGTGCCTTTGAAACTTTTTATTGATTACTATGTTTGAAAAAAAAATCTGTATTCCAATTAAATGGATACAAAGATATTCAAAAGTGGTATAATTCAAGAATTTAAAATGATGTTGGCCAGAACAGTCAATGAAGTATACATATGTTCATTTGTACATAGATGTATTTGTGCATATAGATGTATATTTGTGTATATATAGGGGTGCGTGTTTGTGTGTGTGTGTGTGTGTGTGTGTGTGTGTGTGTGTGTGTGTGTGTGTGTGTGGTGGCACAGCGGATAGAGACCTGCCCTGGAGTCAGGAAGATTCACTTTTCTGGGTTCAAATCTAGCCTCAGATACTTGCTTTCTGTGTGACCCTGGGCAAGTCACTTTACCCTGTTTGCCTCAGTTTCCTCATCTATAAAATGAACTGAGGAAGGAAATGGCAAACCATTCCAATATCTATGATCACAAAGAGTCAGGCATGACTGAAACAACTGAACAACAACTAGACAGATATATGTTGTTATTTTTGTCTTAGGGTTTGTTTGGTTTTTTTGGCCTAGTTAAAAATCTTTATTCTTTAACTAAAAGTTAAAATTTCAGTTTGTAGACCTAGAGCATGAATTTCAACAAAGATTTCCTTATTTTTTGTCAATTATAGAATAGATGGGTTCTCAGCAACTCTTCTTGTTTACCTAGCCTTTGTATTAGAGCAAGATAGGTACCCTTTTCTAAGCTCATCAGGGTGGATCATGGTAATAAAACAATTCTCTCTTTTTTGCCAAAACTTCTGTCTCTAAAGTGGGAATTTGTGTAACTTTTCACCTATTTAATCTGGCAGCAGTGAGGGAAAGGCGAGTGGATATCTCCTGTCAAATTTTTCAAAGTCTCCTAAACATACCCTATGTTTTCCTGCTTAAATGACATTGCTCATACTGTTCCCAATGGCCAAGATGCCCCTCTCTTTCACTGTCAAGTCTCTACTCTATCCTTTAAAATCCAATTCAAATGCCACCTCCTCCATGATGTCTTTCTGAATCCGTTATCCTCCTGTTAGCAATGCCTTTCCTATGCTTGCTTCCACATAGCATTTGTGTTTCCTTTTTTAGTCACCCTGTGTTATTTGTATTACTATTGCTCACCATATCCCTCTTACCTAAATAACTGTCTCCTCTGACTCCTAGCACAGTGCTCTGCAGACCAGCTGTGCTTTGTAAATGTTTGTCGAATTAAATTAAAAAGTATGAGCAGCGTTGGAATACTGCCTTTTTTTTTGCCATTTTAAGCTTTCTTTTGTGGCAAGAGGTCAAGGCATGATCAGTTCTGTCTCATATTCAGGTTACAACAATATTTTATGGCTTAAAGTCTTTTACAACTCCCACTCTTAGGCTGTGGGGCTACAGGAAGATCTTCAGTAGGTTTGAACTGGTGCTTTGTTTTATTTCTGTCACCAAATCTTTGGTAAAAGTTGGAAGAAAAGAAGAGCCAAAAGAGTAAGGGAAAAGAACAATAACTTTAAAACAAAATAAAACAAAACTGTTGTCTTTATCTTTTCCTCCTCTTTGGGTTACTTATTTCTCCTAGTAACTAAGAACTGACCGAAGTAGCTTCAGAGGTCATGGTGTGGCTTATGTTGTTCCAGATTGTTGCATTAGCTTTAAATACTCAATTCCTTCCCACCCCAGATTTGTTCTTCAAAGTTCTTCTTCTTTTCATGGCCTCCATACCTTTAGTGTTCCTTTCCTCCGCATAATAATAGCTCACATTTCTATAATTTAAGGTTTCCCTCCCTCCCTTCCTTCCTGTCTCCCTCCCCTGTGAATAACATCACCATTGCTATGACTCTTCACATCAGATCTCCTTTCTCTGGCATTGCTTAAAACAGTGCCTGGCACTTAGAGGAGGAATGTGTAGATCCTTCTTCATTCTTTCCTTTATTTGTGCATTTTCCTGAAGGCATTTTAGTTTTTGAGCTTTCAGGAGCAGCTATGTATAAATGGACTTTCCTCATCAGCTCTATCAGTTAATTAACGAAATGTTTAGGTTTATGTGCATTTATTTAATAATAAATTGCATTTATATATTATATATATAATTTCCTCTTTATAGTAATAGGGGCTAGACCTGTGATTTTGTTGATAGGAAGAGCTTCACTTGCCCAGTTCTCTTCAATAGCTGCCATGTGACTTGAGTCATTATCTTCCTCCCCTCCTTCCAGTCTGGAACCATAATCCAATCAACTTTGATCATTGGTCTTAGAAAAAAGCACGTCAACCTATTCTCTTCTCATTTTACTTGCCCTCTTTACCTTTCCAAACCAAAATATCTTTCCCTGGTCCACAGTCCTGTATATTTTTGACTCCCTCACATATAAGTTCCTTGTGTATGGGGTCTACATTTGCTTGTGGATTTGTTTTCTTACCACTTGGCACATTGCTTGGCATGTATAGCTTAATAAATGTATTCTCATTTATACATGTATAAAGAAATTCTCTCTACTGATGCAGATTGAGACCTTTTGTGCAATTTTTCTTCTTGGAGAATTGTTTAGGACCGTAAGAAGTCAAGTGCCATGTCTGGGGTCCCCCCAATCTGTAGATCTAAACGATTGGATTTGAAGCCAGGTCTTTGTGGCTCTAAATCTGGTTTGCTATCCAAAAGGCCCTGGACACTTCCCCCATGGACACTTCCAAGAAAAGCTTCCTTTACTTCCCAGAATGAGTTTTGCAGTGATTGCTGTATTGCTCACTTGAGTTAGATGCTAGTGTGCTTTGGTTTGGGTGTGCAAAACTTGCACTTGGGTTTGACTTAACTGTGTCTGTTGCATCGTTTTCTTTCATTGGATCACAATAAAGAAAGATCTGTTTGCTCTTTCAGTGTACCCCTAAAATCAATGATGCAGGCATTTCACCCACATTTTAAAAAAACATGAATCATGCTGTTTGGATGAAGAGTTGAAATCTTATTGTGCCATGGGGTGGGGGGAGTGGAAGGGGGAATTTGGAAATCTGGTGAATTAAGAAGGAGGACATAAAAAATTGATAAAGATAGGACTGTCTGTTTTTATATTCTGCCACGTAACATGGGTTTAAATGAATTTGCCTATAATTTGTCTTCAAATACTGACATTTAACTCTTAGGCTGTATAATTGAACCGGCTTTTTCGAGAGTAAAATTCATACCCTGTGTCCAGGCTAATATGTTCACCTTCTATAAACATTACTGCCTATGGTTACAGCTGGAATAAAAAATTCCTTTTATATACATCATAGCTGGCAGAGGCTCCTGAGACCACCACAAATCATTCCAGTCTTTTGGAGCTTGCTGACAAAATGCACAAAAATGTAAAACCAGGCTGGTCTAAGATGGATTGACTCTGAAAACCTATTAGCTTATTTGGACCATTGTTTATACCATTATTTTTTGTAAGATGCTGAGTAAAGTATTCCACAAGCTCTCCTTATTAATTTAGTCTTCAAGCTTAGTAACCTGACCCCTTACCAGAAGTGGCTTCTCTTCTATGAGCCATTTCTGGCTTTATTTTTTTTTTAAGGTTGATAATGGAAATAATGAAGCAGTCAGTTATTTATGCAGTCATGATTGGCAAAAGTGATTAGAACACGAACCTGCCCAGAAGCAATGATTAGGTCATGAAAACCAGGCACTATATTTGACATTTAAGAAATACTATTCCAACCCTTAATCATGGCAACTTGTTTTTAAGGTATTTATACAGAATAATACGTTTGGACAATGAGTCTTGTACTAGCAGTATGCATAATTAAATATAAAGGGGAGATTCAGAAATGATGTACTGTAAGACAAGGGACTAGGGAAGAAATTACTACAATGACAGGTGAAGAACAGATTTCTTTCCTGGTCACAAACGCCTGCCTCCCACAGATATTTCTATTTATTGAACATCTTCCAAGTTTGGAGGGGCCAGAGAGTTGTGCATGGGGGCAATGGTTTTTATTTTTTTGGTTGGTAGCTGAATACAAAGACCTGAATGGGTACCTAGACAAGCAACTCTGTGCCCTGCAGTTTAAAAATGAAGTGTTGACTTGACTGGCTTTTATAATTAAATCATAAGTGGTCCCCTCCTTTTTTGTTTGTGTTTTCTCATAGTACAATTTAAACTCCTAAAGAATACGGACTGTTTTATTTTGGTATTTTTTTTAAATCTCCAATGCCTAGCCTAGTTCCTGGCATTATCATATCAAGATGATTAATAAATACTTGTTGAAATGAAGTTTTTATAGTTTGTTGCTTAGAAGTAATTATAACCATCTTTACTCTTTCATTAATTCTACTTGCCTTTGTTTTTATGTATTTGATAATTAGGGGGGAAAGGTCTCTTTGAATGGGATGTGATTGCTTAATTCATTGTCAATAATTTTTTTCTCTAATTGTTTGGATAGACTGATTTTTGACCTTAAGCTTTTTCACCCACATAGCCATCCATCTGAACTCTATTGGTAGGGGCTCTCTTCTAGAAAAGACAGAAAAATCTGAAGGTGAGATTGAAAAGTTTCTTTTTTTTCCTTAACTTGCTATCTCACCCCTGCAGCAACAGTATAGAGAGTGCCAGGAGCTTCTGAGTCTTTATCAGAAATACCTTACTGAACAGCAGAAGAAGCTCTCTCTGTCCCTCTCAGAGCTCCACACTGGTAAAGTGAAGGAGCAACAACAGGTAAGCAAGAACCTTTCACCTTATGTTGTCTAGCTTTTGATAGTGAGACCAGCAAGGTGCTGGAACAGAATGGACACATTCACTTTTCATTGTAGAAGTGCTATCCTCAATCAATTTAGTTAGTTCTTTTACCTTCCATTTATTCCCTCTCTCTCCCATCTCTTTTACCTCTTTCTCCCCTCTCTCTTTCTTTTCTCCCCTCTCCTCTCCGCTTTCTCCTCTTTCTCCCCCTTTACTCCCCTCTCTGTTCTGCTCTCTCCCCTCTCTCTCTTCTCTCCTCCCCTTTCCTTCTCCCCAGTGTCCAGAGGTCAGCATAATCACTTAATGCAGGCTCCTGATCATTGCAGGAAGCTCCTGCTTGAGATTTTATCACAGCAGGATCACAAAAAACCAAAACAAAACAAATAAAGAATTGCTTTGTTCCTTAATGAGAAAGATCAGGTGTGCTGTTTTTTCCTATGTGTTTTATGAAGAACAATTATATAATGTTCTTACCTAAGTCATCTTTATATTTCAAAATTATTTGAAATGAGATGGCACAAGTTGTGTAAAGGTTTTTAATTTAGATTTTAAAGTTTCTAGCTATTTTAAAAGATAAATATATATTTATACACATAAATATTGCAGAGTGTCTATGAGGTATACACATTTCATAACTATATGGTATTTTTAAATGTCCTTTTTTCATGGTTATATTTTGCAAAGCAAACACATATAGCTCTTACCTTTTAGGAATCAATAATCTACTCCTAGACCTGTGATTTTGTTTGAGTGAAAATCCTAGTTGGGAAACTGCCTCCATTGATGCTGTATTGGTAATTTCTGCAACTTAGAGTTCTTATGCAATTATAAATCTGAGAGAGTCACCTGGGCCAAAGTGATTTGCCCACACACTCTTAGTGGTTGAAGACAAAGCTTGAACCCAGGTCTTCCTGACTACAAGCTACTACACCTTAGGACACACTCTTTCTCTAAAATCTTAATAATGAACATGAAATATAAAAATGTACTAAAATAGAAACTGTTAGGTTTTTTAAATTATATTTTGAATTGATGTTGATTAATATTTTAAAGTGTACATATACTAGAGTTAAGTTTTTAAAATTGATGACATGCTATAATAGGGATAATGTACTACTTTTCACTTTTTTGAAAGGGTATCATTTTTTAAAGGTCAGACTTTAGATAACACAGCTACTTTACTAGTGTAGCCCACTTCTTTAAAATGCTATATTTCAAATAGGAAATGTGCTTCCCAAAATTTTAAAAGGATATAATACATTGTTAGGAATGTGAAAGTTGAGTCTAAATTCCTTTATGGAATTTTCTTTCTACCTTGGTACATAAAAACCTGTGTCACCATAAAAGGGAAGGAGATAGGTCTCAAACTCGTTTTTGCCATCTATGGAAATCCTTTGCACTTGTCAGCCACATTGAACAGGGCATTATTTAGGTAAGTTATTTCTGGTCAGACTCCTTGGGGTACTGAAAGAAGATCTGGATGGGAGTCCTGTTCTTGACTTTTCCCCTAGTATTTGCCTTAGTCTACATAACCACAGATGCGATGTGGTATGAAGTGGAGATTTAGGGCCCATTTCAGATATGATCTTTTCCTGTAACATTGTAGAATGTGGTGTCAATAAATAGTCACTAGGGGGCTCCAAAGACATCTACATATGGAGGTCTAACCCTTTTTTTTCTTCCTGTCTCTGATTGGAGAGCAGGAAGTTACACTTGTGTTACAGTGGTCTATGGTTAAGCTAGTAACTTCTTGGTGAGTTTGACTAGGGACTGATTTATAGTTGATAATAGTGCCTCAGAATGGGCTTTTAATCTTTTCCTATCTCTTCTTGTCCCTACTTCTACATACTCTACAAATGGGGAAGGGGAAGAGTGAGAGAGGGGTGAGAAAGGAGAACAGATAATCAGCCACTACCATAGTAGTGTGACAGTGTTGGCTTTTTGTGTACCAATAACAACCAAAGCCACATGTATGGAAAAGACATATTTCAAAAAGGGGAATGTTTTTGAGTTTAAGTAACTGTGATTTTAGTGGTGAAGGTATTCCTTGCCACTATGGCAATATTGCATCCCCTCTAGTTGTTAGTAGATAGTTTTTGTGAGTGGCTGGTGGTGGAAAATGCATCGTCCTCTCGGTAATATGGTGGTTGGCCTCCTGAACTCAAGCATTTTGGTCCTTATACAACAGTTAGATGCTGAGCCTGTACTTGCATCCTTGCCAACTTGGTAGAAACTGGCAGAGCATGTGCTCCCCTGGCCTAGCCTTCATCTGCCCACAGAGACCTCTGAAGAACTGACATAGCACATTAGTGGTGTCTCTGAGTTGTCGCTTTGAGTGTTTAAAACAGAAGTCCTGTTCTTAGAAAGGGTTTAGTGTATTCAGACACAGTCCTAGCTGCTGTTGTTGGAGTTGAAAATTAAAGGGTGCCTTGGCATTCAGAGACAACTAACCTACTTGCCTTCTAGAAGCAGGGATAACTATTTCCTTTAGGGGCTAGGTCAAAAGAATCTCCAGATCAGTTCCACCTTAGAGGACAGCTGTGTCATCAGTATTTCCACTCTTGTTGAAAAGCCTCTCTGAACTTCAGTGAGGAGGGCTTCTTTTCTTTCTACATGGAAAAGGGTGAATTGGACATGTTCTCATTGCTGGCACTGAGGTCATTCTGAAGATTCTGAGCCTGAGCTTCTTTTCCAAGAAAGCTATTTTTGGGGAAAGCATCAAGAATGATAAAGATATGGCTTTTGCTTGCCTTTGTTTCCAAAAGGTGACCGCTACAGCCTATCTTTTGTCTCCAAATGAAAAACACAGACTTTCAACTGATTGGACCAGAGGCTTTAGTTGGGGGCAAGCAGGGGCAGAGTTCTGATCTGTTGGTTCTCCCAGTGAAGAGCAATGGATCAGATAAGTGTAAATTTCATTGATTTCCTAAGCAAGGCATTTGCCTTTAAAAAAAAACCCAAACTAATTTCCAGGTTTTGAGATGGATGTGGTAGCTGTTTGTTGTTCATGAGGCATTCATTTGACTTTGAAGGTCTTGTTTATTTTTTCTCTCTAAAGTTGGTTGCTATCTGGCTCAGATTAGGTTGTTTCATATTCACATTTCACCCACAATTCATCAACAGTGTTCTGACTTAAGATTTTGCCTCTCTTTGGGGTATATGTCATATTTGTTTCTATTTCTTTCATTTCCAACAAAAGGAAACCTTCCTGGGGGAGTTTTTATCTGTGATTTTCTTTAAACCTTGTATCATTTTTCATCTCATTTCTGGGTCTCTACCTGTAATCACCAACTTCTCTGTGTACCCTCCCCCCCCCATCCCCAGACAAACACTTTGGTAAATAAGTCTTGGATTTATTTATCATTTCTTTACTTTGGCAGGATTTTGTATTTTAGTTTTCTGAAAGTCCATGTTTTTAATAAAAGTTTTAGAAAGTCCCCCACTCATAACCAAGCTAGCAAAGTTTTAGAAATCTGTCCCCCACTCATAAAACATTTAACATACAATGCATGGCTCTTTAATTTCACCTCATAACAATTGTGTGAAGTATGTTCTGCAGATATTATTATGTTCATTTTGTAGATGAAAAAACTGAAGTTCAGAAAAGTTAAGTGACTTCCTTATGGCCACATAGCTAGAAAGTGTCCAAAGTGCCATTTGAGCCTGGGTCTTCTGGTCTCTTAATCTCTGTCTTCATTACCTGTCATTCTGTCTCTGTTGACTAGATGAATGAATTGGTTCACACTCATGTTTTTGGTGTCTTGAGTGTTTTTTCCATATAACTCAGGAAATTTTAAACTCTCCTATTGTCTCATTGGCCACCTTCCTTTTGAAAATTTTATGGCATTTCTTTAGCACTTTACACATTGAGGAAAGCCAGGGCAGCAGTCTTCGGGGGCAGTTTCCCTTTCACTGTAAAAGTATTGACATGCATGTTAGGTTTAGGCCTTACTATTCTTCTCTAACTGTAATCCATACTTCAGGTTGTTATAAATTCTATAGTATCACCTTTTGGCAACTTCTTTTCTTGCTTATGTTGGAAGGTAGACTAAAGGAATCGAGAGTGCCATTGCCATTTTCTCTGGATCCCTTTGGCCTCTGTGAGGAAATGGAGGTTGTGGACTGTGGCAGTGGGTATTATTGCTTCATCAGCACTCTCCAGATCTGAAGATGGCCTTTGGTGTGATGGCAGTCTTTTCTGTTCATGGAGCTCTTCCACTTTCTTATCTGATCATCTGTTACATGTTTTTCCTAAAATTTTGGACAACAATTGTTTGTGCTCTGTTTTTTTTTTCCTTTGCTAGGAATAACGTCTTAATTCCTGGGTCATTTTAATACTCTCAGTATCAGAGGCATTATTTTTTACTCTTATGTGGTACTTATGACCATGTGGAAAATTGAGTCTCAGGGCCACCTCCTATTCCATGTTTCCATGGATACTTTCAGCTGGTATACTCTTTCAAGCAGCCTACGGAGATGTGGCTATGAAGCTTCTTGTTCCTGTTTTGATTTTGAAGGCATTTAAAACTGAACTGGCTGGCTGGTGTAGATAGAAAGATTGTGCTAGATCAATGCCCCTGTCCCACAAAACTCTACTGAGGACCAGTAAAAAATACAAACTCTTCACCATTGGCTGTGCCACCATCTGTAGCTTCACTGTAAAACCTCTCATTAATTCAGTGTCTGAGAACCTTTATCTGTGAAGAAAGAGAGAGCTGGTAGTAGAGGCCTAAAATGCAGAAATTAGTAATCATTTAAAAAAAGTTTTTAAGACCTTTGGTAATATAAGTTTTGTAACCAATAAAAATTAGCTACAGAAAACTGCTGGTTCATGGATTGATGATTAAGAAACACTAAAGTATGTGATCCCTAAGTATCTTCTAATTGTAAGGTTTCTTAAGTCTACAGATGCCAATTTGTGCTTAATAAATCAAAGATTATCATTGACAATACAGAACTAAAAAAAAATCACTTAAATC